GACCCCGGGCCGAGTGATCACACCAAGTGCGGCAGGAAGGGGTCCTCCGCGGCGCTGGGGCCTCGTGTGCGTGGCAAGTCTGCAGCCAGAACCGCGGGGAGGGGCTGGAGCGGCAGAGGCTGTTTCCGCACCTGGGTAGGCCAGTAGCTCCCGGTGCTCGCTGAGCCAGGGCTTGGGCTTTGGTTGTCAGAAGTGGGACCGAGCTGACGTGCGACAGGGATGTGAGGTGTCTGTGAGCTCGGGCAGCTGGAGGGCCCCGGGCCAGGTTGGCGTGAGGCCCTGCACAGGGCCAGATGACGCTCAGGCAGGCCGGGCGGGGGTTAACCCCGCAGGCTGCTCCCTGTGGCCAGCAAAGCAGCCGTGTGGTCGCCCGGCCCTTCCCGGGTCCGGGGCATGCAAAGCCCTGCCGTGCGCCCACCGAGCTGTGCTTAGGGTGAGCCAGGGCAGGACAGGGCTCAATCCAGAAGGATCACAAATGAACACTGAGAGCAAAACCAGCCCAGGAGGGGCCGGGGGTCCCTCACCCCAGCTGCGCACAGCTCTCTCAGCCCGGAGCGGTGCTGGCGCTGGCATGGGTGCCTGGAACCGTGGTCCATTGTCTGAGCAGTCTCAGTGTGTGGGCAGGACTGTCGGTGGGGATCTGCTAAGAAGCAGGGGACACGCTCCCCCTCTCGGGGCCAGCTCTCGTCCTCAGTAGGACTGGGGTTAAAGGAAGGCGACTAAGAAGGGGTTAGGGGCGTGGACGCACGTCCCGCCCGCACGACACACTTGCTGTGCTTAGTGGGGACGGAGCAAGGAGCAGGACGAGGGCCCGCCTGGGAGGTGAGGGGACGGCGGGGAGCCGCCGGGGACTGCAGGACGGCTGCCCTCTGGTTTCTGCCCCGCTCTGCTCCTTGTGCCGAGGCCCCTGGGGCTGGCCGTGCTCCCTGAGTCAAACCCTGCCCCCGGTAGGTTTGACAGCAACGCCTCGGCCAGCTCGTCCAGCAACGAGGGTGACAGCGACCGGGAGGAGAAGAAGAGGAAACAGCTGAAGAGGGCCAAGATGGCTAAGGATCGCAAGAGCCGCAAGAAGACTGTGGAGGTGCAGAGTCTCTTTAGACGGGAGTGTGCGCGTGTGCGCGTGTACACGGGCGTGTGTGTGTGTGTGTGTGTGTGTGTGTGTGCACGTGCGTGCGATCTGTTCCCTTGACCTTCTGTCCACCACTGGCAGGACCTCCCAGGGCTGCTTTGTGTCGCTGGGCATTCTGGCCTTAGAAGGATCGTGGTGAATTTTTGAGCTCGTTTGCCTGAGGGAGATGTGAATGAGGAGACAAGGCCGGTCTGTCCTGGGGACCCTCCCGAGCTGTAGGGAGAAGACGCTTGTCATCACTGTGACAAAATGCCTGAGAAAGTCCCTTCCAGGAGGAAGGGTTTTGTCTCAGGGTCTGCGTGTGGCCACTGGCTCTGCTGCTCCAGCCCTGTGGCGGGGCGGGAAAGCATGGCGGTGGGGTGTCCAGCAGGGAAGCCGCCCACCCCACAGCGGTCAGGAAGCAGCTAGGAAGGGGCCTCGGGCCAGGCTCGGTCCCCACGGCAAGCTCCGCGACCCACGCCCTTGAATGAGCTGGCTCCCCCGCCACCCGGCAGTGCCATCGCACGGCGACCTCACCACTGACAAAGTTGTCGCCCCGGTGACCCAGTCACCCCCGGAGTTGTTCCAGGCAACCCCTCTGAGGACCCACGGGGTGAGCAGGCCGTGGAGGGCTCATGGCATCTGGGTCCCCACCTAGGGAAAGAAGGGCAAAGACCCCAACGCCCCCAAGAGGCCCATGTCCGCGTACATGCTGTGGCTCAATGCCAGCCGGGAGAAGATCAAGTCGGACCACCCGGGCATCAGCATCACGGACCTCTCCAAGAAGGCCGGCGAGATCTGGAAGGGGATGTCCAAGGAGAAGAAGGAGGTGAGGGGCGGCGGGCGGCGCAGGGAGTCGGCCCGGTTTCCCCTGCACCAGACTGACTGGGTGTGCGTGTGTGCCACAGGAGTGGGACCGCAAGGCGGAGGATGCCAGGAGGGAGTACGAGAAGGCCATGAAGGAGTACGAAGGAGGCCGTGGCGAGTCTTCCAAGAGGTGAGCGGCAGCTGTGAACTCGGGGACCCTGAGATTGCTTTTTAGCAGTTATTTTCTCAGGGCAGAATGTGAGTTGGGGAGCTGAAGGTCATAGGTGTTTTGGGGGTAGAGCGGCACTTCTGAAATGTAAGCCATTGTCCAAAGATGGGTGAAAGATAGGAAATTCAGCTCACTGGAGAGATACGGCCCATTTCATAGAGGGCCAATTGTATTTGAAGGTTTGAAAAAATGTAGAAGAAAGTTACTGTGAGCCAGGTGTGGTGGCACACGCCTGTAACCCAAGCACTCTGGGAGGCTGAGGCAGGAGGACCGTAGGCTTGAGGTCAGCCTGGGCAAGTTAGTGAGACCCCTGTCTGAAAATAATAAAGGGCAGGAGGAAGGAGCCGGAGGTGCAGCTCCTCCGACCTCTTGCTGCTCTAGAGATAAGTCCAAGAAGAAGAAGAAAGTTAAAGCGAAGATAGATAAGAAATCCACACCCTCTCGGGGCTCCTCGTCCAAGTCCTCCTCCAGGCAGCTAAGCGAGAGTTTCAAGAGCAAGGAATTTGTGTCCAGCGACGAGAGCTCCTCCGGAGAGAACAAGAGCAAGAAGAAGAGGCGGCGGAGTGAGGTGCAGGGGGAGGGGCTTGAGTTGGGGTGCGTCTGGGTGGGTCTGGAGGGATGGGTCGGAGCTGGGTGACTGGATGGGCCTTGGTTGCAAGGAGCGGGAGGGCTTCTGGGCCTTTCTCCAGGGCTTGCTGCCCTTCCCGCTAACACAGCTTTGGTCCTCAGGACTCTGAGGAAGAGGAACTGGCCAGCACCCCTCCCAGCTCAGAAGATTCCGTGTCAGGATCCGATGAGTAGACAGGAGAGCCCCACACCCGCCCTGTCACGGCTCCAGGCTCCCACCCAGTCTCCGTGTCAGCTTCTCTTCCGAGACACGGGGTCTGCAGGTGGCACGCACGTCTCCGGGCGTGGGGCGGCTCCTTGTCACTGGGAGAGAGTGGGTGGGAGGCGGGGCAGCGCAGCATCCCAGCCCTGGTCCTCTTCTGCCAGCCTTGAGGACGCTACTGCCGCTTGTCCTGTCCGTGGCTGCAGCGGGGTCAGGCGAGGGCAGGCCAGTGGCCGCTTTGGGGCCTATTTCTACATTTATTTTGTATTTCTGGTCTGTGAAATCCACATTTAATAAAGGAATCTGACTTTGGAAACCGCGCGCTCGTGCGTCCTTTCCAGCCCAGGCGAAGTCCGCCGCCCACTTCCCACGCATGGGTAGCACCCCGCCCTGGGGCGGCCGGGCAGCCGGTCTCCAGGTGCGTCCCGCTCTCTCCTGCCGGGCCAGCGTCAGTTTCCGCCACTTGAGAGCAGAGCTGATGAACACTGATGCGATTAGCAAGGATCCCTCCTCCTGGCTGTGCGATCCGCCGCCGAGGAGGCGGTGCTGAGCGCATTTCTCATCACCTATGAGTCAAGGGTCTTCCGGGGCCTCAGATAATAGAATAAAGATCGACGCTTCCCGCAGACAGGGAGTGGAAACCCGAGCCTGGAGCCTGGGAGCATGAGAGTGAGTGAGTGTGTGTGTGTGTGTGTGTGTGTGTGTGTGCGCGCGCGCGCGTGAGAGAGAGAGAGACAGAGACTGAGACAGGAAGAGAGAGGGACAGAGAGGGAGAGAGAGAGAAAGGGAGCCGAGATAGAGGAAGCTTTTGTTTTTAGGATAAAGAAGGGTTACAAAATCTGCCCGTCAGAAGGAGGTTGTTTCAGCAAAGGAGGCCTAAAATGAGATAACAGCGTTAAAGGGGTAACTAGAGGCGCCACGCTGCCTCGCAATCCGCGTTTGTGCACGTGGGGCGGCCACATGGCCACGTCCTCGAGGTGGTAGCTGGAAGTTTAGGGTCCGCCAGGGGTACCTTCTGGCCGTCGCACCTCTATGGTGCAGCAATCACGGCGGCTGCGGGGCGGGGCCGGGCCGAGTCTCTCTAGGCCGCCGTCTCGGTGGCGCGGGAGCTTGCATCAGTCTCTCACAGCCCGAGCCCGTTATTTGCATGCTCATGAATAATTCAGCAGGGGCCGCCCCCTTCGTGGCAGGGCAGGAGAGCTCCGCGAGGGTTTGCCGCGCCCGCTTAGCCTGTATTTGCATAGTCATGAGGCGCTCCGGGGGCGGGGCCTGGGCGGAGCTGGGGGAGGGCCGCGAGGGGCTTGCAGCGCCCGGCTCCCTCGGTGACCGCGACGGGGGCAGCGGGGACGGCGGCCGAGATCGGGACGCGCCGGGCAGAGCGAG